TATAAATATTTTTTTAAATATTTGGTGACCATAAAGAACACGACTTTCTAATTGTCATTATGCAATAAACTAAAAATTTGGTATGTAACACACTGATATTATTAGAGATTACGTAGAGAGTGACGATATATTCTTTTTTGATAAATTTTCCATATATTTGTATATTTGTATATAATATTTCTTGTACATATGTGCTTTTTTTTATTTTTTTTATATTTTTTTATATATATATTCATCTATATTTGCTACATTTACTTTCATTTCTATATCAATTTTCTCTTAAAGAACCGATATAGAATTTTTTTGAAGATTTATATTTTTTTGCACTTCTATATCAATTTCTCCTAAAGAACCGATATAGAATTTTTTGGAAGAATTATAATTTTTTGCACTTCTATATCAATTTCTCTTAAAGAACCGATATAGAATCTTTTTTCTTTTTGGAGACTTATGTTCTCTATATCTATTCTCTACATTTATTCTTTTTCATTATATCTTTGCAAAAATATATATTTGAAATATATATATTCAAATATATATATTCAAAGATATATTTTTTCTTTTTTCATATTCTATCTCATGTGTTTATACATGGATAGGCTTTTATTGAGTGGATATAATACTTTCTTTAAACCATAAAAAACTCGGACGGGAAATTAAAATATATCTAAAATAATAATTATTATTTTTAAAACAATTGCCCCCCTCGCGTAAAATATTAATAGGTTTTAAATCTTTCTAAAACTGTGTAGGTAGGGATCTACAATAGTGATAGATTCTAAATCTTTCTAACACTGTGTAGGTAGGGATCTACAAGCGATTGTAGAATTTGCGTTAGGCCGGGTAGGTAGGAAATATATTAGACTGTGGATAGGTAGGAATTAGAAGAAATAAAAATGTAAAATTAGGATCAAGGCATGCGTCATATGCAGCCTTAATCCTAATTACTAAGGCTAGTAACGTTTAAGATAGATGTTTATAAGGTAGGTAGGTAGGATTATATATGTATATACTATTGTATAAAATTGTATGTAATATTGTACTTTATTGTAATGTGTAAAACAAATTGTAAAATGAAACTTGTGAATTGAAAGAATTCTGATGATGAATTCTAATAAAGCAACAAAATAAGCGTACTTCTTGAAGTTGCAACTTTTCAGACACATATATTTGTGTACCGTTAAAACAAATTTGTATAATATATTTTTTATATATTTTGTGTATTTATATAGTCGTTTCAATAAATAAAAAAAAATAAAATAAAATAAAATTTATAAAGCAAAGAGCAGCAAGTGATGATAGAGGAGATGATACCTGATGGTACACTCCATAAATTCTGATGCTGCTTGCTAAAATAATAATTCTTTTTTCTAGACTATAACATTTTCTTCTTATATCACATCTATGTTGTGTGAAAAGTTGCAATGTTTTTTCTTATCCTTTTTTGTTCTTCTTCCTCATCTCCTTGTCACAAAACCCCGGTCATTTTTAATTTCAATAGAAATCACAAATCCACGCGAGTACTCGCACATCTGAAGAAGAGCAAAAGTAGTAATTTTCTATAACAGTCGATGTTAATAATAGCAGCAATTAACGTTCCAAGATATAGTCCTTTATTTAAAAAATAAAATAACAAGAAACGTATGCTGTCTTGCGTGAACATTACGATGTTTATCTTCCATGGAAATTTGGAAAATCCGATTCAGCTTCTCCGATGCCGCAAACGTCAAATTCGGTAAGATATTTAAGTTGTTTTTCTTGTTAAGATTAATTATTTAATTTTAATTAATTATTTAATTATTTAAATTAATTATTTAATTTTAATTAATTATTTAATTATTTAATTTTAAAATTATTTATTATTTAATTATTTTAACATTTTGATGTATACCAATATATTTGTGTTTTACTTTTGTAATATTATGTTTTTCTCATTGTTTGAGGTGAATTAATTTCCTGTGACGTTTCCGAAGACGCGGCCATCTCGAACGCGACGATATTATCGATTATTATACATATCGATAGATGTCGAACTCGAACATTGGGTGCGTTCAGACAACTCAACGGTTGAGAGATCATCACTTATGATAGGACTATTCTTCAAAATCTGCTGCGGTTCCAAAAGTATGATCCAATCAGAAGTGATTATCTCTCAACCGTTGTGCAACTGTTGAGTTGTTTGAACGCACCCATTTTGAACAGAAAGGTGATTTTACATTAGAGCGAACTCGAGACGCGGGCCTCGTAGAATTGACCAATCGCATTGGTCGAATCAGCCATTTGACCAAACGCGATTGGTCAGTTTCGCGAGACTTGTTACCGTGCGGTTGCGCCTTGCGACGCGACGTCGAACGATTTTGATTGGCTGGCGCGGACGCCAATTAATCGAACGATGCGCGTAATAGAGTTTAGCGCGTCTCGCGTATATTCATACACCACGCACCGCCGCGAGAGAGAGGGAAAGAGAGAGAGAGTGGGAACAACGTTCGTCGCGACGTTTTGTGAGATGCGAGAGAGAGCCAACTCAATCGCGTTCGGTCGCTAATTTGTGACGTGTTTGGTGTTTTGTGTTTGTCTCTCGTGATCGTCGATGATTAAACGTGGTGTCGTGTATTTAATTATTATTTCGTTTGTTCGTAAACATCCAATTCGCCGGATGCGGCGCGGCGTTGCGGCGTGGACGACAAATCGATAGAGGTAAGAATCGTTTATTCTTCGCTTATATACGTTTCGAACGTAACCTCCAAAACGCGTAACGTCGCGCGTTCCACGTTGATCGGTGGGGGGTAAGCATCTCTCTTCTTGTTGTTTCTTTCTCAAATCTATCGTCACACAACCGACACTTTTACCATCTCTCTTCCGTTCTGGTCCATCAACCGTGTCCGGTTGTATCTCAGATTTCGAAGTTGCAACATCGGTTGCGTCACTTAATGTTTCCGATTGTCGCTACGACGACACACAAGGTTTGGTCGATCGGATCATATCCGACGATTCAATTGTCACAGTTGATTCTGACGTACACGACCGCGAGTGTTCGTGTCGCAAGTAAGTACGCGTTTTTTGACGAACGAAAGCGCGGCGTTGTCTCGGGTATAAATTTTCAAAATTCAACACCGAGAGAGATCGCGTGTGTGAAGATTTTTTAATTTTTGCGCGAACGAAGATCGGTCTTCAAGAATCAAAAAATTTCAATCCGATCAATTGTCTAATAAACGAAATGGGATTAGAGACGTTCTCACATCCGGTTGCAGCAACGTGTACCGCCGTCAATGGAGGATGATCGGTAAGAATCTGATCTAAAAAAAAAAAAATTGCCAATTTGCGACAAGTGGATAGAACGCGATGCAAAATTTGTACTTGGGTACGTGACGCTTCTGATTTTTATATTATAAAACTTGCAAAAGAGCGTGTACCAATAATTGCAAAGGTATAAAGTCGCGCAATTATTTACGCGGCACGTAAATGTGTAAATTGTTAATCAAGTCTTTTATGTAAGAGTGCGTGTAATTTAATCATCGTTACTTTTTATTGTTATTTTTAATATTTATTACTTTCTCTTGGTTTTTTTCAAGACTTGTTTGAATAAAATCAAGAAGAATGAACTTTTAGACAATTGCATTCGATTCTAGAATTGTTTAACAAAATTAAGATAAAGTTTTATAAAAAAATACCGGCCATGAAGAATGTAACGCGAGATATTCGAGTATAATAATTGATCACTTAGAGGCTAAATAAGTCTTGTTAAAAAAGAAACGTCGGTACGCAGTCGCAAATTATAAATTGTTATGTAAATGATTTACGCACGAGTGGAGAAGTGCCATTTAGAGAAGTAAATGGCCGAGAGCGATCAAGTAGATCTCTTGTGTGGAGAAATGAAATTATTTCTTGATGCGTTGAAACCATTTTTTTTTTTTTTAATAAACGCGAATACATACGTTTCGTAAAGCACAACGATTTTATTTCAGTTCTCTTTTTATTTTTTAATTAGTCCGCCTTTTATCTTAAATTCGGATGTTTTTTTGTCAGAGAAATTCTCTCTTTGCGGTTCTCAGTTGTTGAGCGAAAACTTAAAAAATTTTCGTCGAAACGAAAATTACATTTACGGCGCGAATAAAAAAACCGTTCGCGTGAGGATTGTAGACCTCGGGAGTTTAGTTGTTTGCAAAAAAAAAAAATATATACTGTCCCTGAAAGAAAAGACATGTAAAAGGAAAACGTGTCTATATAAATAAGATCTCTCTCGAAATAGATTCCTCCTCTAAATACCATTGAACAGCGATTGGCACGCGACTTAGCCATCGTGAACTCCAAACGTGCAATTCTCCGTTTCTATTTCGGTCGCGGATGGTGCGAGAAGAGTGCAATGTTTGTTTGTTGAAAATTGCGTAAAGAAAACCGGAGAAAGGCGCGCAAGGTAAATGTCCCGATGACTCGAACGTTTGGGAAAAAAAAAAAAAATTTTATACCATTAGTTTTAACTTCTTTAATGCGTTTAATTAATTAACAAAAAAAAACGGATCTTTTACTTTGCAGACTTAACAACAATTTTTATCTTTAACAACGTTGCGTCAAAATGGCCGAAAACTTTTTTCAACAAAAACGATCGTTACTGTTCGACTTTTATCTCGCCACGGGACGTCGCAGGATGATAGCCTGTGATACTAGCGTTTACTTTATTAAAACATGCCATTGTCTCTCGGACTCTCTCATCTCAGGGTTCGGTGTCGATAAACGAGGGAAAAGAAGAAGATTGCCACAATGCGAGGATACCTTCTTCTTCTTCTTTTTTTTTTTTTTTTTTTTTTTTCCTTCCTCTTTTCCACCTGTGCCTTAACAGGAACAGGCGAAATAACATGCAATATTCTTCTATATATCTAGCCGTTTTACGTGCTTGTACATCGAATACCGCGGCCGTTTTCTTCTCTCGATCGCACGTATGTAAGGTGTACGTGTTGTCTGGCAGCNAAAAGAAGAAGATTGCCACAATGCGAGGATACCTTCTTTTTTTTTTTTTTTTTTTTTTTTTTTTTTGTTCGCTCGTCGGTGTGCTGTTTGTCGGTGCGCCGATGCGTCAAATAACATGCAATATTCGTATCTATATCTAGCCGTTTTACGTGCTTGTACATCGAATACCGCGGCCGTTTTCTTCTCTCGATCGCACGTATGTAAGGTGTACGTGTTGTCTGGCAGCGCGAAAATATTTGACGCGGAGAGATCGGCAACAATTCGAATTTTGCAACAAGTACAAGTTAAATAATTATTAGACTTTTTGCGCAAATTAAAATTAAATCAACAAGAAAGAAAGGATAAACCAAACGCTGGATTTTTGCGAAAAATTTTATTCTCGCACATATTTGTCTTTTGTAAATTTAAAAAACGCGCGGACAAATAAACAAATTTGCGAACTCGCGCGAAAACGCGAAGAAAGAAAAAGAATAGGCGCAAGAGCACCTTTGACGCGCCGCGCGCAAAACGGGAGATGAAAGAAATGAAACTGGAGGATCGTTACCGGGGGATCGCAATCACGGAGAGAGCACTAGACGGTCAAGTAACACGCGTACACGCAACGTAAACAGGCCCCGGTGTATTTTTAACCGAAGCTCCGTGTCGGATTTCCTGAACACACTTGATACAGCGTGAACTTCTACGCGCTGGCACGCACGCGAGAGAGACGGAGGATGCACGGGGATGCACGGTGGTTGCTATGCCTACGTGTGTCTCTAACCCTTTGGGGGGGGAGGAGGGTGTGTGTCGTTGTTTGTTGAGTTCGCCAGGTCGGTCTTCTCTCGCGGTTCGTTCGCGCACACACTTGCGTATCTTCTCACCTTGTCTGCCGACTCGTCTCATTATGCTAATGACTCGGCATTATTACCGCTCGCGTTTATGCTCCTTAGCATTTTCCGGTTTCGCTGATCCTCTTCACAAGTGTTCATCCCCCGGAAGAGTCTTTACTCCAACTACGGTCGGTAGTCTACGCGCTATTAATTATCGCACTCTCTCGTTGCGCGTTAGAATTTGAATGGAAATCAACCGTGTTTCCGTGTTTGCTCCAAAATAAGTTTCAAAAATCTGAAGATGAGTGAGAATTTTATATTGTGTCTGTGTAATGTTCGATCGGTAGATGATTTTGTTTTGATTTAATTATTAACCGAAGAAATGGACTTGAAGTCGAAACGTACACTGAAATTTAATATTTATTACATTTTGCATTTTTTAGACAATAAATTATTACTTGAATATCTCGCGTTATAAATTTTCTATGGCCAGTATTTTCCTTACTTTTTTTAAACAATTCTAGAGTCGAGATATAATCGTCTAAAAGTTAACTTCTTGATTTTATTTTATTTATACTAAAGAATTCTTGAAAAAAAACCAAGAGAAGGTAATAAATATTAAAAATAATAATGAAAAGCAACAATTATTAAATTTATATGCACTTTTACAAAAGACTTGATTAACAATTCACACATTTACGTGTCGCATAAACATTGTGTGACTTTAATTTCGCAATTATTGCACACGTTTGTTTTTTTACAAGTTTTATAATAAAAATGAGAAGCGTCATATATACCAAGTAAAATTGTGTCTGATGTTCGATCATTAGATTATTGTTTTGATTTAATTGTCAACCGAAGAAATGGACTCGAAGTCGAAAAACGTACACACTGGAATTTATTATTTATTATACATTTTGCAGTTGATCGAACAGAGTTTTTCACATTTGCGATATTTTTACAAAGTGTTTTGAAAAAAGTTTTCAATCGTTGCCAGAAAGGTTTACGTCATTAAAATTTTTTCCCAATAAAAATCCAAATTAGCTTTTCGAGAGTTTAAATTAAAAATCACTCCCGTAAAAAGAAGCAAATTATTATTTGCTCTTTTTCTGCAACGTTAATATGCCAGTGTGTATTAGTTTTGTGCAACACGAGGAGGTAAGGTGCAATAAAGATCCTCGCGGAAAATCTCTCGTGCGATGCACGAGAAAGATCGCTGCGCGCGGAAACGGATCGATAATTCCGCCCGCTTTCTATTCCCCGACGGTTCTCCCGCGGGAACCGTCTGGCCGTCTCCGGAAAATTTATTTGTCTATATTTTCGGCGCACTTTACCTTCCCTCAGGTGGCTGACCACGGCACCACCTGAGGGTCGTTCGGAAGTGTATGAATAATGTATCCGCGTTTCCGCGAGATATTTTTCCGACTTGACACCTCCGACCCCGCCTTCTCTCTCAGATGTTGTTTCGAACGCGCGCAAAAATTGAGACAAAAATGTTGTAAGACACAAAATATCTCGCTAGATAACTTATCTCTCGTTTCCGATAATAATCCGACAACAGGAACTACGACGAGTGATTCATTTCTTGTCTTTTTACAATAGAAATGCGTGGAATTGTTTATCTCTTCGGTCTTATTGTGTTGTTGGACGGACGTTTTAGTTTATCTCGTGAAGCATTTAACGTTTTATTTTTGTTACAGAAAAATGAGGTGAAAGGCGCTATTTTCGGAAATAAACTCCTGATGAGGGAACGGGATCTGGCCAATCATGATGGAACCGCCGCTTACGAGCAAAGTTCTCCGGGCCCCCAACTTGAAAAGAGGTCAAGAGAACATTAGAATACAAGATAGGGTGAGTGACGGTTGAAACGTCATTGAATCTCAATTGTTTAAATTGATGATTTATATTTGAACGAGGGGAAGAGAAAGAGAGAAAAAGATTTTGTACAAAAACTTTTTGAACGTGAACGCAAAATCGACGTCGCGATTCTTCTCTTCAAAGATCAACGCCGTCTTGGCAGTTATTGTCTCCTCTCTCTCTCCTTCGTTTCTTTCACGCAGGCATTTTGCGTGTAGGCAAGCTGCATTGTTGTCTTGCACTCATTACACTTGCATCCTGCATTCCGATTTCGGCCATCTGGAGGTCGCTATTCTCTCTCTTGCGGAGATCGACCTTCTGTCTATTACATCGCTTTCTTTCTCTTTTGAGTTTCAATTATATTGCGAATCAATATATATATCTATTGTTTTAAACACACAAATGTTCCAGTGGTCGGACACTTGTTAAAAAAAAAAAACAATAATGTTTAAGCGTGTAAAAAAATATCAACTACAACAATTCTCTTTAATTAGTTCGTAAGACAATTAGTTTTAATTGTTAAGGTTTTCTAACATGTAAACACTTTCTTGCAATTTTGCATCTCTTTGCCAAACGTCCGGTGTGTCTTTGGGACGTTTACCTCGTTATACGCGTTGAGAATTGAATGAAAAATTTCTCTTTCGAAGTTGTAAAAGTTGTTGTAAGCGCGAACACACACACACACACACACACACGTATTCTACTCTCTTATCAGTCAGAAATAAAAATCCGCGTTTGTGCGAGTGTCAAGTACGTCGCTCGTAATCACCGCATCTCGAAGATGCGTCGTTATGTGTCAGTGACCGGTTCCGACACACTTGATACACACCGCGGCAATTGTGTATGTGTGTGTGTGTGTCTGTCTGTCTGTCTGTGCTTTTACTTTTTATCCAAACGTCGAGAAGCTAACGTCGTCGTCGTTGTCGTCGTTCCACGCGGAACCGTACGCGCGGCACAAGGTGGACGGCCTCGCGTTATCAGACGTGCCGCACGTAATGCAACTTGGTGCCAACTTCCTGTTGCCCGGTAACGGTATAGACGACGTCGTGCCATCGATTGTTCCGTAATACAGTTCGATCTGCGGACAGCTTCCGACGCATCCTCCGACTCAAAGTTTTTCTACAAATCTACGTTTGTGTGCAACAATATTTGTTATCTGAGAAAAACATAGAAATCGATTGTTAACGTTATCTGTTAACGAAGAAACGTAGTAAGCGCTCTGTTGCGTAGAAAAATTTTTTTTTTTTTTTTTCATATAAATTACGATAAATCCTGAGAGAGGTAAATGTCCCAAACGATCCGACAAGCACTACCGGCCATTTGTTAAAAAAAAATAATTATAACAAAGTATTTAATTTATTAAATTGATATATCTAATTGATTTAAAAGTTTGGAAAATATATATAGGTATATTTAAAACACTGTGAGAATACTTTGTTTAATATATTTTCACATCTGCAATAATTATTTTCTCCATAAATATTGTTTCCATTTGATGTAAATTAATATTTCACTAACGAACGTTAGCGGTCATTAGTTACACGTCCGGTCATCGGACGTGTACTTTACATCCCGCGTCGAGAAGAAGCACCGATGTGTCCGTTGTTTTTACCCACGCCCATTAGATAATTAAGATCCAATTAAAAAAAAAAAAAAGAGAGAGAGAGAGAGAAATATTGTATTACATTGCAACTTGCAACTCACGTGTTTCAATGTGTGTTTGACACGGGTGCAGAAAGGACCAGAGAAAAGGGAGATGGGAGATTGGTAAACCTTTTAAGCTTATTAGATTTGCGAAGTTAATCTATCAGCTGCGTCACGGGCGCACCTTTTTTCCCTAACCATTAGAGTCCTTCCGTGCATTACAGGCACGAGTTTTTTGTGACCAATCATCGTTCGGCTCGTGATCCGCTTTTAATAGAACCTAACATGCGCTGCGCGGATATTTTCTTGTATAAGCTGTCAATTTTGTTCAAGCCGTCAAATCGAAACCGGGTCGTTTAATCAGAAAATCCAGGCGGGTCAACTATATTTTGTTAAAAATATTATTTGCGTAATACAGCGATATTTTCTCGAAAGTGTTTTTTGTGTAAAAAAAAAAAACAAAACGTGTTTTCGATATCATCCGAGTATATCGACTCGACTGATTACGTTTTGCGTGATTTAAAAAAAAAAAAAAAATTTAAAAGGCTCCGAATTTAATCAATTAAAATGAAATTTAATTTAAAAGAAACACAAAATTGCCAAAAGGAAAGTGTTTCGTTGAAAGTTGCGTGATAAAAATTCGCGCGCTGAAATGTTAAATAAATTTATTTTCAATTTATAACGCGACATTGAAATCGCGTCACACACACACAATTTACGGCAAGCAAATATCGGATTTCGTGTCAACGGAAACGGTTTCGTCTCTCCTTTTGATTATCCTTCAAGTATGAAATTCAGACGTAGGTGGACAACAATTTTGTATTCGGCGGCCTCAGCGATCGAGGACAAGTTGAGGAGAGCCCACGCGACGCTTCGATATACACGAGATATAAAATCTTGCAGCAATCAGAGAGTTCGCTCTGTTGCGCGAAAGAAAATTTATTTATATTAAAAATTATTTGCCTTCTCGAATAGCTTCGATTTGAAAATTATTATTATTATTTTCAAGTTTTTGCGCGCGCGCGCGAACGCAAATTACATTAGAAGATCATTTCTTTAAGGCAATAATTCGATTACCAAGTGTGTGCGCGTTTTAAAAATAGAATTTGTTACGTGAAAACGAGAAAGATAAAACTTAGTGCAAAACACGCGCACGCACACGCACACACGTAAAAAAAAAAACAAAAAAAAAAAAGGAGTGCACCGGTGCAACAATGCGTTAGTGTGTGGCAGGCGGGATAGTAGATTATACGGCGAAAGAGAGTGGGGATCATAGTCGAATGGCAGGCGGAACGACGAACCTTCAGTTGAAATACCTCAGTACAGAGTTGGACGTTCCCGTCGTCGCTCTTCATCGTCGTCGTCGTCGTTTATCTCGTCGCGGGGGACGTTCCAAGAAAAAGAAGATTGCGCGCGCCCGCGATTGATTCCGATCCGTTTAAATATTCGATTTAAAGAGACCGAGCGAAGTGAATCTTTTTGTTTTTTTTTTTTTCGCGAGAAGCGCAGAAAATGCGTCCGTTAAATCGATGAAATTGCATAATTGCGTTTTGTTCGCACCGACGACGGAGACATATTAATTTCGATCCGCGACGAACGAACGCGCACGTGCCGCGGGTTTTCGATCGTCAGCAGATACCGAACATTCGATCGTGGAAATGCGCGCAAATTGCAAGGAGCTGAAAAACTGAATTAATTAAATTATTTTACTGAAAAAAAAAAAAAAAAAAAAAATAGAGACAAGAGTGATAAAAAAAATTACAATCCGAACCAAAGAAATCTGTTGGAATCGTGTGCGTTTCGCGCACGTCGAAGAAAGAAATTTCGCAAAATGTAGCCGCGAGAATTCGGCGAAGAACCGACACGGGCGGTGAAAAGTGGATGTTCGTCATCGCGCGCGCGCGCGCGCGTTAATAATTGTCGCGGTGTGCCGGCGAAGTTTATCGAATTACACATGTCGATCGGAAAGTTGTTGGAGGAACATGCGGTCGTCGAATGAATTGCGTTCCCGGCACGCACAGGTTCGGGGGGCATGAGAGAATATCGCGGGATTCTCGGTAACTGTTTTGCACGCGGAAGAAACGTAACAGTATCGCGGTGTGTGCGAAAAAGCATCAAGAGGAGAGAAAAGCCGATCTAGATGCGTCGGGGAAAAGACGACGGATAGAAGCAACGGGAGAGACAGAGAGAGAGAGAGAGATACAGAAGACGTCGGTCGTTAAACAAAAATGGCTTCAATAGCGACGAGAAACAATAATTCGCCTGTTACACGCGACAAGGAGAACATACCGGCCTACGACGTACGTACATCATTTCTTTTTTGTTTGTGTCGGAAAACTGCCACGTTGACGTTCGCAGAGACGATCCGCGCGTATCTTTGCGCTCCGGTTTTTCTGCACTTCCATTTTTTTTTTTTGTTTTTTTTTTTTCCAAACAAAAAGAAAAGTAAAACAAATTGTTCGGATCTCATTGAGAAAACGAACGAGTCTAAAAGACCGTGAAACGAGATGTTGATGTTAAAATAAATTTATGGATTTCTGGTCGTCAATTATCCACCTCTGCAGTTTTTTTTTATTTTTTATTTTTTTTTTTTAATCGGAACATTTCCGCTCAAAACGAGCGGAACGAGAACGGTGGCCTAGTGTGGAGCAGCAATTAATTATGAAGAAACACGGAAAGACAGAGAGAGAGAGAGAGGGAGAGAGAGAAAGAAACGGAGAGAAGAAAACGGTGCTACAGATCTAATTATTGCGTTTGTTTGTAAGAGATGGTGATAACAAGACCGGTTTCAAGCGCTTCGCCCACTTAAATGTATCTCTCGTGCACATTGTGTTGGCGATGTGCAATCACGCCATCTGCATTCCGTTATCATTCCGTTATTAAATGCGTCTAGTTATAACAGTTCATCGAGATTATCGCAAGCCGTTCGTTTGCTAAAAAAAATAAAAAATAAAAAAAAAAGTTACTTTCTTCCCGTAAACGCGCGTCGCGTTTCAGCTCGATAATAGCCCGTGTATTTTGTCGAGAAACGATCGGGAAACGTTGGTTTAATAGACGCGATGCGATTAACTTGTGTGTATATTCTCGGTGTTTTTCTCGTTTCCTTTTTCTTCGAGCATCTCCGATATCGAAGAATTTCTTTCTTCGTTCTCTTTTTTTTTTGTTTTTGTTTTAACGCGACGATCTCATTTGTTGTGTAAATGCGAGATTTCTTTTGAGACGTTGCATCTTTAATTTTGCGAGAGATAAGTAAACAACCGGCGAGGAGAAGGAAGACAAAGAGACCGCTCGTATGATTGCGGGAAAATAAATGAAAAACTTTTGCAATTGTAAAAAGACGTTTCGATTGTTTGTTTGTTTTCGCGATTGTCTCAAAAATTCAAGTTGTTTTTCCAATTGAAAAGTACATTCTGGTAACTAAATTATAAAATATAAAATTAGTTTGAAATTATAAATTACATGTAAAAATTTATTAAAGAGATATTTAACTTAATGTAAAAAATAGTAGCACGTGGTACATTAATAAACATAAATTAGTGAATATAAAAATAAATGATTAAACTAGGAATTTCGCGTGTACGAGCAAAAACACGTCATTAGCATCGAATGATTTTCTTGAATAGAATAAAAATTCCTTTGTTTCACGAGAGATAGTTTTTTCCTTCTATTATAGACAGCTTACGTGTGTGTGTGCGCGCGCGCGCGCGACACTATGTGTAATCAGAAATTTGCGCATTTTTATAGCAGCGCGTAGGCAGCGATCTTCCGCTTCATCTGGAACAATTAATTCGCCGCGTAACGCGCGGGTGAAGCCAGGTATCAGCCCAGGTGTGCTGTGCGTTTGCTACATTTGTACACGCAGTTGTGCGTCATGTGTGCGTGTGTGTATGTATGTGTGTTTCATTCGTGCTCGTTCGTTCTCATGCGTTGTAACTGTGCCGAGGGTGTGGCTCGTAGTAGGTACGTTTCAAAGTGGAAAATGATTTTCTACCGAAATAGTCCGTCAAATCGTTTTTAACTCGATTGGCGATCGCACGGAAGACCGTTGTCTCAAATTTCGTTTTGGTCTCCTCCGATCTTCGATTTCTCAAATTTCCTTCTCCGTAACGGTACGGTCGACTATTCTATTCCGCGGCAACTTTACTGCGTGTATTTACGATCGTGAACACACGTGTCAATTCTTTTCCTTGTATTTGCGTCGCAACAAAAAAAAAACACCTTGGAGCGCGATTTAAGGAGCGATTTTTTAACGACGATCTTTACAGACTTTTGCGTTTTATTATGCCGCGCTTTACAAGCAGCGGCGGCTTATTCTCTCATTCAAACAACAGAACAAACTTTGTCGCGTGTTACGTAATTGTACGTTTCTGCGAGTTACACCGAGACCTTGTCTCTCATCGGTTACACACACATTACATCATTCCGGTACTACTGTGTGCGTGCGCGCGCGCTGTTTTGCTGCCGTTTGTTTGTTGTATCGGTTGAACTTGCAAATGTGTTCGTCCGCAACGAGGCTTTTTGTATTCCGACGTTATTAACGCTTCTATCGTATCTCAATTGAAACGACGTATAATATTTAATAATATATATTAAATAAAAATAACGGGGAGTAGTTTATAACAAACAACAAGATAATGTTACGAAGAGAATGACGTTGCGTTTGTTTTAATCTAATTCAACCAAGTGTATAGAATTAGTTTAGAGAGTTTGTGCGGTAGTATATTATTAATATAATATAACAAACTGTTGTAATAATATTATAATTAGAGAAATGGTTTATTTAATATTTTAATAATATATATTTTAGTTCGTCAAGTAAAAAGAGACTTTTCCAGATCGTTGTTAAATTTTTGTTCAATTGAAGTATCCCGAGTCGAAATTTAGCGTCTACATTGAACCTCAATTTTTGAAAAAAGAAAATTTCGGACGTATAGCAGCATCAAAGTAGCATCTACTTTTTTTTCTTACTCCTACTTCGAGTCTATCAGAGCCTAATTTTGAGCCTATCAGAGCCTGCAATGCGCAGCCTGATCTGAGAATTGAACCCTGCTTTAAAACTTTAACAGAAAAAAAAAGAAATTTCGGACGTACAGCAGCGTCAAAGTAGGATCTACTTTCTCTCTTACTCCTACATAAAAAAAAAAAAAAAAGGAATTGAGGTTCAATGTAGACGCTAAATTTCGACTCGGGATACTTCAATTGAAAAATTTAACAACGATCTGGAAAAGTCTCTTTTTACTTGACGAACTAAAATATATATTATTAAAATATTTTAACAAACCATTTCTCTAATTATAATATTATTACAACAGTAACACTCGGGTAATTTTGAAAGATATAAAAGTTATAAAATTTTTTCATTATAATTTTTCTTAATTTCTCTCAATCGAAATAATTTTCACAACTCGAACACGCGCTCATTGATCGAATAAAACTAGCGGTTGTAAAATAAAATTTATACAGATCCCGGGACGGTTGTGATTTTCGATTAGTAGGTTGACGTTCGCGCACGTCACACTCGACTCGCGCGGTGATGACGATTGCGACGATATTATCGTCAAACGCGAACGTGTGCGACCGTTTTCACGTCAATAAGATCTCAAAACAGAGAACTGGGGATTGTGAGGATTGCCGTATTTGGCGCGTGCCTACGCGTTTTGCATTTGCACACGCGGAGCGACGTGCCGCGGCATTCTTCCATCTTTACATCGCGTTGTTGCTTAATAAAGCAACTCGTTCGCGCAAACGTTCCGAGCGAAGTTGTTTTTTTTTTTTTTCTCCAGCATCGGAGGGAAGTCTTCGAGGATTTCTCCGTTGAAAACGATCGATGACGACGACTTCTGTCTTTTTAATGACGCGCACACGAGATCGAGCGCGCGTTATCTCTTAAACGATACCGCGAAGACGAAGATTGAACAGTAGTAGACAAAAAGCAGACGTTTCTTCTCTTCCACAAGGACGTCAGGTGCATCATCGCTAAAAGTATCTCTCCGACCGGTTTTTCACGTCTCCGTGATATGTTAAATTGTCACTTGTGGATCGCGCGAATTTTAACGATTCGCTTAAAGAAAAACAAAGAGACAAATAGTTGGACTGTGTCCCCACGTAAATTCTGTCTCTTTCTCTTTCTCTCTCTCTCCGGCCGCGTTTAAGAGGCAACAGATTAAAAGACGAAGTGAAAGTCCGCCGCGATAGCGCGATCGTCTCTCAAACGCGCGCGAGCGCGCGTCTTTCTAGGATAACGGAAAGAGAGTTTCCTCTTCGCGCGCACATTCGCGGAGATGTTGGAATTCGCAATGATCATTTGATCACTTGAAGAAACTTGACTGTATAATTGGATTAAGAATTATATGCGCCGAGCGTTACACAACGCGCGCGAAGGATCCACGTCGACGTTAATCTCTTCTCTTCCGTTTCCTCGTGCCGAGTCAATTAATTGTCACTGGAAAGCGCTGGACGGACACAAGACACGGTGCGCGTCTTTTTCGCCGTGCGCGAACTTGACGTTTATTATTCCCCCCTTCTCCCCCTTCTGTCGCCGCGCTTTGTGTTCATCGATCGAGCGACCTTCTCCGTGGGACGGTTCGGAGATTTTCAATTTCTCTTCCGTCGCGAACAAACGCGCGATATCTATTAATATTTTTTGTTACAGAAATGTGATAAATATCAAATTCAATATTGTAAATAAAATGGATATTGACTTTTGTTATAATTTTCCGTTACAATATCGCAGGGTCGTGATAGACTCGTTAATTATCCGTCACAATTGTTAAATATCGTAGAATAGATACGATCTGCCACCATGTGTCTTTCTCTCTCTCTCTCTCTCTCTCTCTCTCTCTCTCTCTCTCTCTCTCTCTCTCTCTCTCTCACNTCTCTCTCTCTCTCTCTCTCTCTCTCTCTCTCTCTCTCTCTCTCTCTCTCTCTCTCTCACGCAAATTTAATTACGAAAATTTCACCGCAAGAGAGATAGAGAGAGATTGTTCGTTCGCGACAGTTTGACTGTAGCTTGACCGACTGGAAAGTTTGTGTGTGTAATAAAATAATTGCGATTTTTAACGCGTCGTAGAAACGAGCGATGATTTGATTCGATGTGTTTCAGATTAAACTCGAACGAGTGTTGGGCGTAACTGTGTCCAGCAATGCAGCCCTGGATTGCGATGCAACCAGCGAACTGGTCGCCTATCCAGCCGGGTGAGTCTGAGATTTTGCTTCGAGTTAGAAAAAAAAAAAAAAAAAAAAAACTGACGATATTTGCTCTTTGTGAAGAGAGCTATTGATAACATTGATTTAATAATTTAAATAATTCAAATAATATTTAAATAACTTTTTTACTTATTGAGCAATTTACGATTTAATCGGTCAGTCGACCTTTTTTGTTAAAAGTTTTGCGACTTCGCGATGTTATTGTGTGATTTATCATTTCTTTTGAAAAATTGTTTAATTGTTGCTGGTAAGATCTTTGCATCTTCGGATTCTGATGAAAAATATCCGTCGAATCGAAACATTGAAATTTTTTTTAAAGAGAAACGAAACGGAACATCCTGTAATTCGGCTCGCACCTGCAAAAATTGCTTTTAAAATAATAATTTTTTTTACAAAGACTGTATTTATGGACTTTCACGTACGTGGCGAGTGTCTGCGTGCTGATTAACGGGATTAACCGATCGGAAAGATCGCCTCCGAGAGTGTGACACGAGAGTTGGCCTCGAGTAGCAAAACGCGCGATTGCAAATTTTGCTACTACAAGGCACCGCCGCGCGAATTTTATTTTAGCTAGCTTTTAATCTCTTGCGGATATACGCGCTAGATCCCCTCGTTACGTTACTTCTATAACGAGTCACATTTTAGCGCAACACGATCACCACTCTTCCCCCCCAGGTGCGGTCGTAAGTCGCAAACGTTTCGGTTTCGGTTATCTCGTTTCGGATTTGTTGTGCGACACTACTTTTCTCGCGGTTTCGCGCCGCGATAACGAGAGTGTGGGGGTGCGAGGGTATCCCTAACGAGAGACGTTGCGAAATAAATTAGCGGGTGATCCGCACGGATACTCGCCGCCGCGGTCGTGTAAAACATGTTCGAAGTTGCGCAGAGCAAGTTAGGCTTGTTGTTAAAAAAACATTTGAGGAGAGGTTTTTAATTTAATCTTTCCGAGACAAAGCAAGGTAATTAATTAACAAGGGACTCGAAAACAAATTTACAAAATCTCTGAATATTTGTTCTCAACAATCGAGTTGTCGCTCGATCTTTCAGTTGAAACGAACTTGCATTTTATCTTATATCCCGCGAAGTCTTTTTCTCTTTTCTATCTTTTTTTTTTTGTTTTTGTTGAAAAACTAAACACGCGAGTCGCGCAATTGTCATCCACGTTGCGGAACAAAAATGAGCCACGTACTCGCGCGGCATTCGCCATATTGAAATTCAGGTCAGGAGAGAGGTGAATGGATCAAGAGATTCCACCTCGAGGCGGCAACAACCGCAAGATAGAGAGAGAGAGAGAGATCCGCGAGAGATTTCTCCCCCTCGATGTCTATTAGCGGACGGACACACACACACACACACACGGGGCGGGCTTTATTGAATAACCCATAATCCGAAGATTCAAATCGCCGACGACGACAACGCAAGTCGTTCGCGCTCGAAAAGTAGCCAATTTGCGCGGGGGTGTATAATGAGCGTAACCTTCCTTCCCTCCCCTTCCGGCCGTCTCCGTAGATGAAGAAAAAGATTTTGTTACGATCGCGTTCGCCGAGTTACAGCGCCGTAAACAACATAATGAACTGTTCCACTGTCTTACAAGCGACCAGTGAAAATGCGCGTTAACGTTTCGCGCCGAGCAACGAAAGTGGCTAGAAATTGCATGCTCGGTTTCCCCTTTAATGTGTGTATGTGTGTGTGTGTGTGTGTGTGTAAATAAGTAAAACATCGTAAAGTTACGCGTCCGGCGTTTGTCAGCGTTTTTGAATGAAATCCCCGTCGTCGTCGTCGTCGTCGTCGTCACGCGCGATAAATTCTCAAACGAATTCTCTCACTTGGCAAGAAATTCTTTTATATATATAAAAAAAAACACATTTCGCTTATTACCGCATACGGTATTAATTAACATCGCGCGCGCGCGATATTCGACGCTCCTTGTTTTCAGGGAGATCTCAGACGGGAGATCCGAGCAATTTATTTTCTTCGAAAAAAAAAAAAAAAAAAATCAGATTCGTTCTCTTTCTCTCGCGCGCACGCGTGTGCGCTCTTTGACGTTTTGAAAGAAACGTGTTTCTTCGCGAACACATTAACAACGCTTCTAATTGCAGTCTCGCTTAATTATCACCTATCGGTGCAACTTTGCACCTGCGGTTTAACGAACTTACGTGCCGTCTTACTTTTTCGCGGCTCAGCACCGTGTGCCGTATCGTTTGTGTGTGTGTGTGTGTTAGCTTTAATTACTCTTTGAGTGTCAAATTAACATATTGTGTTGAAAACTAAATACCCGATAGCACACACACACGCATACACACACACGTGTGCTTTTCATTGATGTTCGTCGGGAGCAAAAAAATGTACTTTCTTGCGAAAAGTTGGCGTTTCTCGTTATTAAAACCCGCGGCAAAAATATGGGACGCCACGATGAAGATTCGCATCTCGTTTTCTTTCTTCAAGCTTTCTTTCTTGTGTGTTTTATATTTCTCCTTGCGCTAAAACGCGCAAACTGGTTCGATTCGCACGAAAATGCACAAGCAATTGCGAACGATCTCGCGCGATTGAATTAATGGCAAGGAATAAAGTGGCGATAGAGCCAACGCGCGCGCGCGCGCGCGGTCGCGTTGTTTAAAAAAATTGTGTCGAGAAAGTAACCGAGAGTTTACGTTTTTTTTTTTTTGCTGGCAATCGATAATAAATTTTATACGCACCGACAACCGTTCTTGTCTATTTTCTAAATTGGTATTTAATTTGTATAATTTCGTAGTCGCGTCATATATTTCAAAAGAGCCGACGCGGTTGCAAATTGCACGGAGAAAGATCCAAAGGAGTCATCGTCGCGGAGAGACGTTCGCGTTTTTGTTTATGATGATCGATAATAAATTTTATACGCATCGGTAACCGCGTTCGCTCTGTTGCCAATTTATAATCAATTTATATCTCTTCACATTGTGTTTTAAATAAATTTAACTCGAGAACACAACAACCCGAGTTGAACGCACGTCTTTGTTTTGACCGCATCAGTTTGCGACGGGTGTTCGGATCAAACCCGTTGTATTTGTTGTTAATTTTTCATTTCTTCAATATATTCAAGTAATTTAATACATCAGCAAATATTTAAAAAATATTTTCTAAAATGATGGTATTAAATTAAAAATATTTGTTGATGTGTTAAATTAAAAATATTTTATGTATAATTGATGTGGTATTTAAATTGACAAAAAAGCGTTCAGAGTTGCGCGGCAGCTCGACAAAGCGCGAAATATTTTTCTGTCCAATTGAAAATCCGTCATTTCGACGACGTAGATTTCGATTGATTCTTCGAATCTTCGTTTAAATGCGATAGCGCGGAAGTATTTTTTGCATTCAAGTCGCGTCGTGTGACGAACCACGACGGGGACTACGATGTTACGTCGGCGCAACTTAAAAAGAACGAACCGTAATGAAGACAATTCCTCCGACGTAACCGCAAATCATACAATACGCGAAAGGAAAAGATCGACTCTCGACAAACGCACGATTGGATCACGATTTTATATTGAGTCGTGAGCAAGAGTCTCAACGAGACGAGAGATGAACATCGTTGCGCGGTAATTTTCTTTTTTTTTTTTTTTAAGTTATTGTTGCGCGCGAACTTGAAATATAACAAGGGAATTTATTATTTATACGCGTAATTTCAATTTTATGGAAAGCGTTTAGGATTTTAAATGCACACAATGCGGCGCTCTGAATCTCCGCGATGTGCTTTTCATTCCCCTCCCTTCTCCCCCCGGCCGAGAGATGACGATGCGATCTTTTCTCACGGCGCGTCGCGTCGCGTCAATTCGATTCGTTTTCGCTCGCGACTTTCTAAGACCGAACGACGAGAAGACCGCGTTTTCTTCTTGACCTCTTCGTTTTGATTCTTTCGATTTCACGACCTTGCCGGGGTAATAACCAAACAAGAGAGAGAGAGAGAGAGAGGTTGGCGGATCTTTCTTTTTCCTCCTCGGCTGACTGTGAGAAAGCGGGGCACGTACGTATTTTAATATGCATCGCGCAATTCAGAAGCGAGATAGAACATCACAAAAACGAGATATTATTTAATTATTAAAATTTGAGGAAAAGAATTCAACGGACCGCGAAATCACAAAATGATATAAAAAATTATACTTTCGTCTCGCGCGAAATATTATAAGCGCGTGATCATTTTTATTTGCGCGAACAAAAGACCGCGCGAGGCAATAATAATTTTTTACTCTCACGCCTCCGGATCGTCGTCGGAAAAAAAAAAACTACGGCGCGAATATATAAAAATACGCGACATGTGTGTATATAAAAGGTCAATGCGAGCTGTGAGACGCGAAGGATGTTGGTGCGTGAAACCTCAGTTGTTTCAAATTGAAACGAGAACATCAGATTGTTGGTTCGATCAACGAATCGAATCTTCGCTTCTTCACCGAATGCAACCGCGAGCAAAGAAAAATAAAAACTTAGAAAGAAAATTAGCGAAATAAATGCAATGTTACACGTGCAATAATCTAAATTGCGCTTTATATTGCATTTTCAAGAAAACCGCGTTTGCGCGGAATACCGCGTAATTGCATTGAAAGAAATTAGAATTTTATAAAATTTCTCAAAAGTTGTCAATCTCGTCGATGATAAAAAAAAAAAAAAAATGATTGCGCGAGTAACGCGCGTTTCGAACACGATTTGCGCAATTGGTTGAGAAGACGACAACTGACTCGCTAAATTTTCTTTCGATCTTGTAATAAAAATTGTTAAATTTCTTTTAACTTCGCAATATAAATTATTATATGTAAATAATATAAATTAAGTAATATAAATTATTATATGTGCAAGGTGTGAGCCAAGACTTTTTTTTTTTTTTTTTTTTTTTTTTCGAAAATTATCGAAAGCTGCACGAGATCGGCTTACATAGTCACTCTTCCCTGCGAGGGAAGAAAGTGTTTCTGTCCAGCTTTTGCAACGGTCGCATATTTTAGTTAATAACACACAAGACTTTCATCGACGAAAAAAAAAAAAATAAAACGCGCACGCATTTGCGTGTCGTTTTTAAGAAAACGGAGCGGGAAGGGAATTTTCGCTCGGAAATGAAACATCGGAACACGTGTGTGTTCGAAGGAGAAATGTTCCGTCTGTTCCGCTCTCGCGTTTTTCAAGAACGCGTTTTGCAATTAATTCCCGTTGTTACATATTTCCTGTAAAATTAATAATTTACATTTACGTTGCGCCTATTTGCAATCGCGTTTGCGATTGCACGCGATCGATAATGTTTTAACAGTCGCGCGATAACGTTAATATTTTTTTTTTTTACATGATGGTTGCTCGTGAAATTTAACAGATAGAAGGGGGGGGAATTAAACCACGTACGTTTCGATTCTGATTTGGATCTTCTTCGGCGACTGTACGTGTAAATTACAAAAACTTAGGATCGAAACGCCTGTAGTTTAACTTTGAACAAAAGTATCGGGCCTCCTCCTCTCTTCTATCCAATAATATTTTCAGTGTGAAAGTTTGAATCTGACAAAAGTTCGTGTTGCAAGTTGATTTTAGATGAGGCATAAAATTTCTCGATCAATCGACGAGGACGAAATAAATCTCGAAAATTGATTCTCCGAAAAAAATATCGAATTCACGTCACTTAAATTGTTGTCGCTCGAATTTGTTAATTAATTTTATGAAAAATTGACGCGCTTGTTTTCCAATCGCGTTTGTTTCAAGAAATCATTTCATTAAAATGTTTGCTGCTCTCAAAACTATTGAATAGTTGCATAGTCATACGTAGCGCAATGCAACCTTCGCGGTAAGATATTTAGTGTGTGTGTGTGTGTGTGTGTGTGTGTGTGTGTCTGTGTATTGATAGAAATGTGAATATATCGTGTTTGGTGGGCGTAATCGAGTCTACACGTCTGTGTACGACCCGACCAATATGTGCCGTTGTCGTGTACCGATGACAACGTGGTGTATCTGTTGGCTGGCGTGCTAGTTTTACTAGGTCGCAAGGCGAGCGTGCCTCCTTCACACGGCCCCGTCGACGGATCTGTGTGTACAGGAAGAGAGTAAGAGAGAACGCGCCGGGAACGCGAGAAGAAAGGATTAAATCACGTTTCCCTCATATACACACGGGCATACGTCGGCTATTTCAAAGACTTTTCTCCGCGCACGTATATAAGCCGATGCCGCGAAACTCGCGATCGCGGTCGCGGGTTTTGACCGAAGTTCTTCCGAACAAACGAGCGACGAATCGAGTCGACGCGGTTGTGCGCAAATAAAATTTATCATCGATTATAATTAAAAAAAAAAAAAAACAAAAAAAAGTCAATTAATGAATTTTACGTAATCGCCGACAGATACGTTGATTCTATTTGACAATTTGTTATTTTTATTTTGATTTGTTCGATTCCGAGACTTTTTTTTGTTTTGCCATCGCGTTCGAAAAAGAATTTTTTTTATTTACAAGTTGCACGTGGGAATATCAGAGCGTGCAATGTTTTTCAAAAATCAAAGTAGAGAAAATTACAGAGAAAGAGAGAGAGAGAGAGAGAAAGAGATTTTTCGACATTATATAAAGACACACGTGAAAACGACGGGGGTATTAAATTTGAACTTTAAAAAGAGGACACGCGATACGTTTTTTCTCGAACTATAACACGTCCCACATACGATGGAGCTATGTGTCGCGCGCGCGTTCGAAATCTGCTTCTCCATTATAAAAATTGCGGGAAGAGAGATTAATAGGCCTTTACACGCGAACAATAGCTGTCACGAAACGATAGAAAGTCGCATCTCGATGCATTTTGTGTGTATGTGTGTGTGTGTGCGCGCGCGCGCGCGCGTGCTATAGACCAGATTCTGCTTGACTTACTTCATAAACTTTAAAAGCGCGCTGTTGCAATCTATTACGCTCGCGTGCGAGCGCATATGCAAATCGTTCTTGAAATTACACGTACTCGCGCGCGGAAAATTGACAATCAGAAAGTTATACGCGCGTTATGTTCTTCTTTCGGAAGAGAAATATTTTAATTTGAAATAATTCAAGCCTCCAATCGCCGACACGCGCGAAATATTTTCCAAGAGTGTGAACATTAAAAATATTAAAAATATTCATCACAACACACAAATTTTAATTTCGAAAAAAACCACAGTCCCGTAAAACCCAAGATGTAAATTTTTCGAAGTGCGAACCGACGTGGTTTTTTTTTTCGAATTAATTCGAAAATTAATTAATAATTAAAAGAAAATTAATTAATTCGAATTAATTCGCGCAATTTATTTGCAAAAACGTATGAATTACTGTACTATAATTTGCATTAAAAAAAAATATTTCGCACGCGCTCTCGAAGATCTTGTTTTATTTCTTTCTTAATTGGAAAGAAAAAAAATTCAGATCCTTGTTTCCGATTATTTTTATCGGGGTTTTTTTTTCGCGCTTTTCTCTCGCAGCATATAGGAATCGTTCGCGATGTTTATTCTCCGAACAATCTCGCGGAATCTTGTTTTTTTTGCGATCGCGCAGAAACATTTATCTCAACACAAACGCAAGAGATATTATCGCGCGAATCTCATTAATTACGTAAGAAACACATATCGTCAACTCCCGCGCGCGATTGGCTTCTCTCCGCACGTTTCCTAGCATAGATAAAACAAGGTAAACGTTCCAACGGACCGGACCTGTCCCACTGACCGGTCGTTTATCGCTGAAGTAAATTTGTCAGATATGCGAAAAATTAATCGCAGCGTTTCTCTCAACGTTTGTGAGCATGATTGTTGACAGTCGTCAGTTTTTTTTCTGACTTTACACGTGGAAATATTTTGTCAGAAAATCATTTGATCTTTCACGAATGTTCAACGAAGGACGTACCGTGTACTTTGGCTTAAACGGTCGTTGGAAAAGTCGTTGCTTAAACAAACTTTTTGTTTCAATTTCAAAGGGATTTCGTCGCCGCTCCGGAGAGTCTCCGTCCGATCTCCGGGCCGTTCTCTGGCTGTTGGCGACGTGCCGGGAAAAAACCTTTCTTTGCGAGCTAAAAGCTAAAAACTACAACCGGAAGTATTTATGTAGAATGAACCATTCCGCAGCAGAATGCCGGGAGAAGAACACAAGAGCCCGCGTTGCGCAATTTCCCGTGTACTTCTCTCCGTCCGTGGAGAAACGTTTAGAAATTGTACGTGTGTGAATTTGTAAACCGAGCGGGCAAGAGTTCGAATTTTGCGTGTACGTACATGATGCGCGTGCGTGCGTGCGTGTGCAAATACGACTTGCTCTCTCGCGAGTTGAGTGAAAGATAACGCGAAATTATAAGATCTTAAGAAAAGGCTCGAAGTTTTAACAAAATGAAGACACAGACCAGAGCCGAACAGAGCAAGATATATTCAATGACAATTTTGTTTATTGACGGAAGGACTAAGTAATTTCAACGTTGAGTTGACATTGTTTTAAAAAATATTCTAACATGTTGTTAGAATATTTTTTTATAATTTTTAATATTATTTAAAAATAACAGACATTGTCGAACAATTGTGTCTCTTAGAATTGTTTGACACTGTTTTTTCATTTTAAAACAATGTCAACTCAACGTGGAAATTATTTAGTCCTTCCGTTATTAAAAAATATTCTAACATGTTGTTAGAATATTTTTTTATAATTTTTAATATTATTAAAATATATTCTAACTAAATGTTTTTATTATTTAAATATTATTTAAAAATATTCTAACATGTTAGAATATTTTTGAATAATTTTTAATATTATTTAAAAATAACAGACATTGTCAAAGAGACAATTGTGTCTCTTAGAATTGTTTGAGACAACGTCTCTTAGAATTGTTTGACACTGTTTTTTTATTTTAAAACAATGTCAACTCAACGTTGAAATTATTTAGTCCTTCCGTTATTAAAAAATATTCTAACAACATGTTTTTATTTTTTAAATATTATTTACAAATATTCTAATGTTCACATGTTGTGTTAGAATATTTTTGAATAATTTTTAATATTATTTAAAAATAACAGACGTTTAGCAGCAACGTGGTCGCGAGTTTTACGAGATCGTTTGACGATGCCGTTTTGAAAAATTTGCCGGATTATTGGGCGACGAAATGGAAGAAAAAGAAGAAGAAGAAGAAAAAACAAACGCGCCTCGGTCGATTGCCAGATTTAATAAACGGTGTCCGTTTCTTTCTCTGTTGCAGTTGCACGGTCGTGTTGTTCAATCCGCGAAGAAATAGCCAGGCGCACGTGTTGAACGGGTGTCGCAAGACCGTGACTTCCCTTGCGCTCGCCGGGGATGGCAAGCTTCTGGCCACGGGCGAATGCGGTCACATGCCGAACGTTCGTGTCTGGGATATCTCCGATCCGCACAATGCGGTGCAGATCGCGGAATTTTCCGGACACAAGTACGGCATCAACTGCGTGGTGAGTATCTTTGGTTTAAGATGAGGAACAAAAGACTTTTTCTTTCTCCGCCGCCGATATACATTCCGGTTGCAACGCGATTGATGTGATTGTGGGGGTTTTTTTTTTACAACGCAAGGAAAAAAAGGGTAATCATCGTGTGTCCAGGCGTAAGAGCAAATCGCGCGCGTCTATTTTCAGCTCGTTATCGATAATATCGTGTAAACCAAAGAAATCGCGGAGATATATATATGGTCGACTGTTCAGTTCCTTTCCCAGGTAACGTCTCTCTAACGCTTGTTCGTCGTCAAACGGGAACGAGGTACATTTAAGGTCAAGATTTCAAGAACCACTCGCGACGGTTTGCTTGAGCAACCGACGGTCTCAGCGAGACGTGCGGATTGCAGGGCCTTTTCGTTGCAGACCAAAATCGGTTTTAGAGAAAATCACATTTCTCTGTTTTTCTCTCGTCTGTCGGTCCTTTTTTTTTTTTTTTTTTGCTGCCTTGCGAAACTTCTCCCCGTTGTGAAATTTGAATCACCGCTGCTCTCTCTCCGCTGAGGTTTGCTGAGTAATAATTGAGTAATGAAGAGATTTTTTTTGTTTGTTTGTTTGTACACCGACAAAACAAAGTTTTGCTATCACACATGGCCGAAGCGAGAAAAATTTGCTGAATATTTTTTGTTTCGTCGACAAAACGAGAACAATTCAATAGGCAAGTGTTTGTTTTTTCGACCACGAGGTAACTTTTTTTTTTCCCCCCCGTTGCAAGTACGAGGGGGCGATTGATAAGTACCCGAAAAGACGCTGAGCTCTCTCGATCGAGTGGTTGCTGTCAGCGATTTTTGACAACTCACACACTTCAGTTCGCAATGGACGAAATTTACGAGGAGGTGGCCTCGGGAATTGCTGCCTCATCCGCTTTGTTCGATCCGCTCGTGCGATTTTCATTTATTTCCGAATCTGAAAAAAAAAAAATGACTCGGTGAGAAATTTTCGATAACGAGCCGACGTTTGTCATCTTCAAGGAATGTTGAAACTTCGTCAACAACATCAGCGATGCGTCGTCTGTTTGTCCATCGTCGTGGTTTCGGTTACTTATCAATCGTCCCACGTACACACGCTGTCCCACGGATTCGATTCCTTACATTCGATTTGCGCTGTGCATGCACGTCGCGGTTGCGAAGCGTCGCGCGGCATCTACCCTCTTCTTCTTCTTCTTCTCGAGCAGCATACGAAATTACCTACCTAGTGAATACGCAACGGTACTCTCTTCTCCGTTGTCTCGCACGGTGTTGTGTTTCGTGCAAACGAAAGAGAGATCCAAGAGACGCGTAATTTTCTTTCTGCCCGCGACGAAAAATTTTTAAAGAAGATTCTCTTTGCCGGACTTTTTGTCAAGTCTCGACCGGAACAAATTCGGTTCCACGAACCGCGAACAACCACTGGTCGGACATTTTGTCAAAAAAATAATTGCAACAAAGTATTTGCGTGAAAAATTAGAAAAAAATTTTGAAGACACGTTTGAAAAAACAAGACACAATTGTTATAATATTTACAAATCATTGTTTCTTTAATAAATGTCCGATTGTTTATATATTTATATATTTTATATATTTTATATATTTTATATATTTTATATATTTTATATATTTATATATTTATATATTTTATAAGTTTATTAAAATTAAAATTGTCCAAAGAGAAACACCAAAGAGAGAGATTTTTCGGACTTGTTGCGGTTGTTAAAAACTTACACACAATAGATTTCGAAATACTTTATTTCCCTCGGTCTGTACAAGTGCGAACTGCGAAATAAAATACAAATTAAATACAAACAAACGTAGAAACGGAAATAAAGAAACACGCGCGCACCGAAAAAAAAACTCGATCGAGAGCGAAAGCCGGAAGTATTATTTTTTAAATCAAAAAATTTAACACGAGTTAAAAAATGTTCACAGAAAAATTTTTCGTTTGTTTCGCTCTGATCGCAGGCGTTTTCGCCGAGCAACAAGTACGTCGTGTCGGTCGGCTCGCAGCACGACATGATCGTAAACGTCTGGGACTGGAGGAACAACGTTAAGGTGGCGTCCAACAAAGTATCGAGCAAGGTGAAGGCTGTCTGCTTCGCGGAAAATGGCAATTATTTCGTTACCGTGGGTAACAGGCACGTGAAATTTTGGTATCTGGAGTATTCGCGCAGCGCCAAGGTAATTGTCCGATCCCCCATCATCAAATGGGTCTCGCGTATAGATTTTTTTTATTTCCTCGCGATGCGATGCGATGCGATTATTTGATGTGCCAGTGTCTTAACCAGTGCCTTTGCGCTGCGATATTTGCGTTGTTGTCGCAGTACAAGGAACCGGTGCCTTTGATGGGCCGATCTGCTATATTGGGAGAGCAGAGGAACAACGATTTCGTTGACGTGGCCTGTGGCAGGGGCGAAATGGCGGATTCCACGTACGCGATCACCAAAACGGGTCTGTTGTGCGAATTCAACAACAGGAGACTTCTGGACAAATGGGTCGAGCTCCGAGTAAGTTTTTTTTTTTCCTCGGGGATGAAAAGTTAAATCTCCCGCATTCGGATTTTTTTATCAGCTCGGAGCTTTGAGAGAAGAAACTCTTTCTCTCTCTGTTCTAGACAAGCAGCGCCAATTGCATGGCGGTTGGGGACAAGTACATCTTTATAGGATGCGCCGAAGGAATTGTCAGGTGTTTCAGTCCCAGTACGCTCCAATTTGTCACCACACTACCGAGGACGCATTATCTGGGAGTCGATGTGGCGCAGGGATTGTCCATCAGGTTGTAACATTTGTTTCATTTGTCAGTAAATAAACAAGTTGCGCGAAATATAACTCGGCGAGTTCATTTTTGTTGTTGTTGGCGCGCACAGTCACATGTCCCAGCATCCGCCCAACGCGAGGTATCCGGACGCGATTGCGCTGGCGTTCGACGAGCGAAACAACAAGCTGACGTGCGTCTACAACGATCACAGCATTTACGTGTGGGACGTGAGGGATATCAGGCGGGTTGGCAAGTCGCACTCGTTTCTATATCATTCGGCCTGCATCTGGGGCGTCGAGATGTATCCGACCGGTCCGGATTCCGTCGGCTCTATGCCGCCCGGAAGTTTCATCACCTGTTCCAGCGACGACACGATTAGAGTTTGGAACTTGGAGAGGGACATCTCGCCGAACGATACCTTGTACAAACGGAACATCTACAGCAATGTTAGTTATGTTAGGTTTTTTTTTCATTCTCTACAGTACGCGCGTAGAAAGAATCCGACGGTATGATGGTAAATAATTCTTTTCTCTCGTCAAACAGGAATTGCTCAAAGTGTTGTACGTGGATCAAGAGCTGACGTATTTGAAAGACCTGGATTTGGCCGCAGCGGGATCAACCGAGAAGAGTGACGCGTCTTATGACGGTCGTAACGGCGTGAGGTCGATAAGAGTCTCTCCTGACGGCAGGCATCTTGCTTCCGGTGACAGGTCAATGTCAAAAATGTGTACAAAAATAATATCACAGTTTACTGTGCGCGGGGTCGTTTAATTTTATTAACAACAAATTTAAATTAAATTTCAATTAAATTAAAAAAAAATTCTATTAAATATATTAATATTTTCTTTTTTTTTTAATTAAAAACTTAAATGTTACATAATTAAATTTGACTAAGGATGATTTTAGACTTTAATTAAAATCGATTGAAAAATATTTTGCAATATAAAATATTTGTACAAAGGATTTATAAATATTTATAAATTTTAAACGAAATAATTCAATAGATATACGCGCGCGCGACTAGATAAGGACGGAAAAATATTATTCTCTCTCGTTATAGATCCGGCAACATCAGAATTCACGACGTTTCTTCGCTGGAGGAATTGTGTCTGATAGAGGCGCACGACGCCGAAGTGTTGTGTCTTGAATATTCGAGGTTCTCGCGATACTCGATGGACGCCACCAGATTGTTGGCGAGCGCGTCGCGCGATCGATTGATTCACGTTTTCAGCGTCGATCAGGGATACAATTTTCTTCAGACGCTCGACGATCACAGTTCTTCCATCACGGCTGTTAGATTTTTCAATCAGTCGAATCAGAGCAATCAAATACAAATGGTATCTTGCGGCGCCGACAAGAGTATTATTTTTAGACAGTTGCAATCGGTGAGCGAACAATTTCGCGCGATATTATAAATTTTAATTTTTTAATCAAATACGCGCCACAAAGATTCGTGCGATCTTCTCTCCTCTTGATTCTCTTCGTTTTTTTAGACGCCAGGTGGAATGCCACAGTTCGCCAGAGGCCACAACGCTCAGGGAAAGACCACGTTGTACGACATGGAAGTCGATTCCGGACAAAAGCACGTGTTGACTGCCTGTCAGGATAGGAATATTAGGGTTTACAATGTTACTACCGGCAAGCACAGCAAAACCTTCAAAGGTTCTGTTAGCGACGACGGCTCGTTGATCAAAGTCGTTCTCGGTAAGACGCGCAGCCAATTTCGTCTGTGTTTGAGCGCGCTTTTAATTAACAAATTAGAAAATATTTCAACAATTTATCTAAAAAATAAAATAAAATAAATTTGCAGAACATTCAACGTAATATCCGGTTCAACAAATATCGCATTTGTTTTTAGATGCCTCCGGTATTTATGTAGCTACCTCATGTACAGACAAAACGCTATGCGTGTACGATTATTATAGCGGTGAGTGTATGGCCACTATGGTCGGTCACTCGGAACTGGTGACGGGTTTGCGTTTCAGTCCTGATTGTCGTCACCTTGTGTCCGCGAGCGGCGACGGCTGTGTGTTCGTATGGCGCGTTCCGCACGACATGGTCGTAACTATGCAGGCTCGTCTCGCTCAACAAGCTATGCGCGCCGGCAAGTGAGTACAGTAGTAGTTTTTCTCTCTGTCTCGTTTGGATACTTTTTTTTTTTTTTTGTTTTATTTCGTTTGTGTTCTCTCTACACACATCGTTGCGCAATCGTATATAGAAAACCACCGCAAGTTAACGGAGGCGGGATCGACGTGCAACTTGACAACGGAACTTACGGATCACCTCCGCCCAACTTTCTCGATCCGAACGCGAATCCGCAGAGCATCGGAGTGGATTACAGATTCAGCGTAGGCCAATTGCCGCAGTGGGCGAAGAAACAGATAAATACCGCGAGCGCTGATGAAAGCGCGATTGGCGGATCGAACGTCAGATCTCTCAACGTCGATCTGCCCAAGGGCAGGTGGGCGCAGAGGGTTCAACAGGGCGACGGTATCACCGTCAAGTCTGTCTACGACAGCGACGAGGTCATACCGTTTCCCTCGTCGCGTAACGCCGTCGATTCGGATGGCGGCGGCGGTGGCGGGGGCGGTGGTGGNGACGGCGACGGTAGCGGCGGCGGCGGTGGCGGCGGAGGTGGCGGCGGTTCGAAGGACAGCTCCATCGACAGCGGCATGGAGACGAAATGCAGCAGCGATTATCGTCGAGAAATAATAGTCGGTTGTAAAACGGTTGGTATATTTTCGCTTGAAAAATCGTCTGACGACGACATTGACTTTTTAACCAATCGCGCGATTTCAGGAAGAAGAGGAGAACGTGTTTCAACCTTGCCGGGAGAGTTACCGGGAGATAGAAAACGAAACCAAGCAGGTACTGCCAATAAAACCCGCGAATGTTCGTTTTGTGATCGCAATTGTGCGCATGCGCGTTTTCTCAAATTTTCTCACTCACCATCGGATTACGTTTGCTTCGCTTTCACTTTGTGTGTTTAATCTTTTCGTTTTTTTTTTTTTTTTTAATTTGCGTTTAATCTCCGAATTTGCCATTTGTTTGATTTTTGCTGATCGTACGTTTTTTTATTTTATTTCGCCCGCTCGCTCGTAGGTGATTGACGGTAAGGTGACGATCAGAAGTGGTAATATCACGGAACTGATACGTCACTCGAGGAGTCGTCACCACACCGACGATAGCAGTCTTGGCAGCTTTAAATTCGAGGTATATCCCCCCTTCCCCCAACCAACCAATCAATCAATCATAAGATATTTTCAGGGAGACAGAGGATAAGTTTTTTCTGTTTTTTTGTTTTCATTGATTTTGCGAAGTCGCTTGTCGAAGTAACAAAATCCATCATCGCATTGTGTGTAATATTCCGTTTACAATAATTTTTTCAATTTAATTTTTATTCCATCCCTTTTAACGTGTTCGAGCATTCGCTCTTTCTCTCTGCTGATTTTACTTACTGATCGTCAATCAATTTTTTGTTTTATGTTGCGTCTCAAATAAAACCACTACTACTTGTGTCAAATTTACGTGAAAAAAAAATTGTGCGCGTTCGTGTTTAGGATCACGAAAGCACCGAGCACGACGGGGACGTTGAGGATTATTCCGAGGGGGAAAACGGAACGACCGGTTCGGAGAAGTCGAATCACAGATTGATGTACTATCCTCCGCCGGAGGATACCGTGTCGAGTCAGTTCACTGTCAACGCGATGGACGTGGAGGAACTTCGAAGGTTCGTTTTCAAAAAATTCCACGAGTCCGTTTTTTTTTTTTTTCGTAATTTAGTTTCTGGAAACAATCGAAGATGTATTAAAAAAAAAAAAAAAAAAAAACACGCAGATCGCAAAAGCGACAGAAGAGATTGAAGAACGCGGAAAACGGTCGGACGAGCGAGTTGGTCGCGTCCGGTAGTCAGGACGAGTCCGACTCGGAAGGCGGAGCGTCGACTCCCAGCGCCGAGAGAAATCTGCTGTCCATATTGTCCGAGGCAAGTTCGGAGGGTTTCGATCAGCTCGCCAAGCAGAGTCACAGGGAAAAGTACTTGAAAAACGCGTTCGAGTCGCTCAGCGGAGCGGAAGAGCCTCCGAATCGTGTGAAAGCGACGAGCATCAGCTCCCAGTTTCACGGAAGGTAAAATTTGAATTTTTGATCCCGTGTGTGTGTTTTTTCCCGTAACGTCGGGAAAAAATTTATTGCAAAAAAAATATTGCAGACTTAACGGCGGCGAGGGTGGCAACACCGGTGGTGGCAAAATGCGAAACGCAGCGGTGGTCAATGCGACGAAACACGCGAGAGGCGATGCCGACGTCGTGAAGAAACGGGAGGAGCTTCAGAGGAGAATAGAAGAAACTCGAAGAAAATTGCAAAGCGTAAGTTTGAAATTTCTGGTCGCGACAAAAAGAAAAACCAAAAAAAAAAAATTGGAGAAAAAAAGGTTTAAAAAAAAAAAATAAAATTGTTAAATAAAATTTTATCTGCGCGCGCAGGTCGGTTACAGATCGTCACTGAAGTCGAGCCAGAGCATATCCGACTTGAGCAGCCACATACCGGAAAAGCATCATCGCTCGAACAGACTTAGCACAGGTAACAAATCCGGCCAGCAAAAATGGTCGTCAAAACCGACTTCTAACAATCCCTGTAACAAACCACCCATGCTAAATCCAAAGCCCGCGTTAAAACCCCAATCGCTCATTAACAAGGTCCAAGGTGTGGGTTCAAATGCATTGCCTAAGTTAGAGATAACGAACGAAAATCGCTTGTCAAAGAGTCAGATTGCAATGCCGTGCTGCAATGAGAAATCGAAACCGACGCTCAGCCGTCCGTTAACGTTGACGTTGAAAAAAACTGAAAAGTATAAGCTGTCCTTGAACAAGGCCAATCAGTCGTTGCCCGAATCTCCGGTTTGCGAGGAATTGAAGTTTCTCAAGGAGCAGTGCAAGAAAAACGTGAGCCGATTCGCGAGATTCGCTCAGAAGCGAAGATCGTGCAGTTATTTCATCGGTCTGGACGACAACGAGGAGGACATGGAGAACATAGCGAAGTCGTTCGACAGTTTGCCCGCGATGAACGAGCGCAATATGGACAATTTCAAGGAGATCGTTCTGGACGACGCCGATGAGGGAAACGGCAACTTCAGCGACGACTCGTTGGAGGGAGATTTCAAGAATCCACCACGACGTTGCGTGAGCGATTATCAGATCAACATTCACATGGACGATCACAGAAACTACATTACCAATTATCAGAACTTTCAGAGAACGGTTTTGAGCGGTTCGCAGGAGAGCGTGCTCTCGGACGTATCCGTCGAATCGTTTTCCAAAGGAAGCGCCGAGATTTTGGATTACAATCATTACGATCACGATCGACACTCGAGCGCGAGTTTCTTTCTCTCGCGACGTAAGATGCAAGCGGGCCGAAGTCAGGAGAGCATTCTAACCGACGAGTCGGATTATCAGGTGTTTCCGTTGCGCGAGAACGTCGATCATCGGAGCACGGAGAGCGTGCTGACCGACGATTCCGATTCGCTCGTGAAATCCGCGCCTCTCGAAATGTTGTTCGATTCGCACTACAAACGGAAGAGACAGAATTCGGAAACCTACAGCGGAAATCCGAACAACAACGTCGCGGAAATCGCAACGGACGCGGCGCAGCAGCAGCAGAACTCGGCCGACGAGACCAACTCCTTGCGCAGATCGGTGTTTAGATCGAAATCGTTGCAGGACACGAGAATCAGTCGCGCGAAGAACGACAATTTGAATTTCGCGGAAGACAACGCCGAAGGCGAGACGACGCCGAAGACCCGAGTGTTCTGCGAATTCAACTTCGACAACGAACGACGTTTGCGTGAGAATTCGGACGCGACAAGTTCGGGAATTGTTAACAAGTCGGCGGAAACGCAGATCTCGCGAAGCAACAGTTTGAAGGTGCAAACGATCAAACCGGAATCGATGATGATTCTGAACGACTTTGTGGCTCACAAACCGCCGAAACCAATGAGAAATTCGTCGCGCACCCAGAGCATGCGCAACAGAGCCAGACCGAGTTGGAACTACGTCGACTCGGCTCCGCTTAGAAGCGATTCCGAGATCTACGCCGCGTCCTCGGCGAGTCTGACGGAATATCCTCGCGCGACTCGCGTCGACTCGAAACCCAAACTGGACTCGATCAATTCGGAGGTGATGGAACACTTTTTGCAATCCGCGAACTACGCCCGCGAACAATCCGACAACGATCAGGACAACGGCAAGGACAAATTCTACAGTTTGCAGACGACTCATCGCGCGAGTAAGAATCTTCAAGACGATCTGACGTACGACAGAAGTCAGTCTTCCCTCGTGGCGAACAATCACTACTTGACCGTCTCTTCGACGACCGAGGGACGAAGAGCGTCGTCCGATAACGAGCAGATTCGCTGCTTCGAGAACGAAATCCCGACGAAGGACGTAGGAGGCGAAGCTTACGACTCGTTGGAACCGAGCGGAGCAACGGCGGTAGCGGCGACCTCCGACACGAGTCTGCAATCGACCAACGAGCGAATCGACAATCTGGACGCTAGCGTCGACGTCAGAATAACTCGCGCCATCGAGGGTACCGTCAAGTTGCTCTCGAAGGAGTTCGAGAATCTGGTGCGACAGAAGCAGTACTTCATGAAGGAGAAGTGTCTGCGACTTACGCAGGAGACGAGCGAGAACTTCGCCAAGTTGGAGGCCGAGCGCGACAATAGATTTTGCGCGATCAGACGCGACATACGACTGCATTCGTGCGGCGAGGACAGCGACTGCGCCGACGTGTCGGCGATGGACAGATCGCTTATGGAAAGCGGCTCGTCCACGTCCGCCTCGAGCTGCACCAACTCGCCCAAGAGAATGTGGCCGCCCGCGTCGCGGTGCCAGAGCCAGATGAAGTGGACGAAAACGTTGCCGACGATCAATCAAGCGATTCTTCCGACCAAGCATTCTTACGCAGGTATTGCGAGCGAGAGTATTGAGAGGGAAATGCTTGTGCCCGCACTCATATGTGTTTATTAGTGCAAATTGATGAATTCAAAAAAGACAGTCCTGAAAAAGACTGAAGACTTTTTTGTCGCGCGCACGTTCAGACTTTGTATAGAAGAAAAAAATAGCTTCCGTAATGTCATCTCTGTGTGAATTTTTTTGTCATGCGATGTGTATTATACAGAATAGAGTTTTTAGAGACACACAGGAGCCAAAAAGACATTCCCACGGCTGATCACACGTCTCTTCGTATCTCATTGGCTTTAGCAAGAGCAGATTCAATTTTTATTTCAAGGCAGCAGCAATTTACTTTTCAGTTTGAATGCGATTTTTGTTACTTTTTTTTTTTCTTCATCGTAAAGACATGGCTTTGTATAAATATATCTTCATGTCTCGTTCTTATTTCGCACGGATTACATGCGCATGTTTGTAACTCGATCTCTTCTCCTCCCCTCTCTTTACATTTTCTTGTCAATTTTATTTATTACATGTAAAAAAAAAAAAAATGCTTGGTAAGGTAAACGTCCTCGTGCCCGGATCGCTCCGTATAGAAATTTATTGCTAGTGTAAATGGCAAAATAATATTTTATTATTTTTTTATTTATTGAACTTAATCCGCGCGCGCCTTTCGGCTTTGGATGGCTTCCGGTTGTTTTTACAGTTTTGACATTTTTGACACAATGTAACTTAACATTTTTGACACAATATAACTAAAACTGGCAAAATAATATTTGTTTATAATAAAAACACCGTTCAGCGATAATTTTAATATTTAAAAAAAAAATCTACTGTGGCAGTAATAAATTTCTTAAGAGAGGCTGGCCAGACATTTAGTGAAGAAATATTTATAGTTATAGGATAATTAAATATTTATATCATACATTATATAAAATATTTGAAACTTAATAATTAAAAGTAATTAAAATTATATTTCAAAAATATTTAAACCACCAAGAATTGTTATATTTACATTTAGTAATTATTTCTTCGTTAAATGCCCGGTTCAGAGTTCGATCATTCGGGCATTTATCTTACAAACAGCAAATGGCAGTAAGAAAATGAGTGCGAGAACAAAAAAAATAACACACGCTTCGAATTTGATCTCGCATAAAAAAAAAAGTGTATATATTTTGCCAAGATATACGTTATCTTTATATATATATATATATATCGAAGCGGAAGAGAACAAATTAAAATGACAGTTGACTGATTGGTTGTTTCGAATGAGAAAAAAAAAAACCAAAAATTGCATTCGGTAAAATTATATAAATTAAAGTAGTACAAATTAGTGCATGCGTGTGCGCGTTGTCAACAGTTGGCTGTAGTGGGGGGCGAGTCTCGTCAAAAGTTGTTGACAGCGAGGAAGAAGAGGGTGGTATGAGACGCGCCTGTTCCCTGAGTGATCTATCGGTCAGCCCTCCAAATAGATTACTGCATGGTCCCGTACAAGGTATTCGTTTTTTTTTTTTTTTACGTCATTTTATCTCCGTACGAAATTAACGTCAATTCTCTCCGATATATATCTCTCATTACGCAATATAGCACACACACACACACGTAGCGTTTCTCTTTCATTTTCAACTTTGATTCGCTTTCCATTTTTTTTGCTCGACTTGTTGCGTTTTTAATAAATCAAATTTAGTGTTTTCTCCCTTTGAAGCACAATTGTTCCAAAGTGCAATCTAACTTTTATATTTCTAGAAATCTATTATTTAGAAAACGCGTTAAAAGATGATTTTGCGCGCAACAGATCGGTAGAAAAAAGATGTCGGTTCTTGTGTTTTTTTTAATTGGCGACGAACAGTTTCAGGAAAATTAGGGAACAAGAATATAGGCGTAGCGTCGAGAACGGGATCGGGAGGCGCCAATCTAAACAGCCAGTCGAGACACGGTTCGGGAAAAAGTCACTCGACCCACATAATAAGAAGTAGCAGCGTTGGCATCTTGAATCAGGTAATCACGACGTGTGTGTTCGCCGCGCGCGCGCAACAAGAAACGACAATTAGAGATTAGCGCCAAAAAATTTTGTTCGTTTAATTTTGTTTTTTTATTCGTTCAGAGCGACTCGGAATCGGATGTCGGTGTAACGGGAGGAAGTGGCGGTGGCAGAGCGTGGAGCAGCAATCAGTCCGGCAACAACCGAATGAGCGGTTTGCTCAGGCCAACAATCAGTTCGCAGAACAAGATCAATCATCAAAACAAATCGAGCTCTTCCGGCAGCAACGTTTCGTCGGTTTTGAGAAGACGAGGCATGCAAGGAGCTTTCTCAACAGGTTATCCAAATTTAATTGTTTTTTAATCGCTCGCTCTAGCCCCCCAAGGTGTGAGTGAATGTGAGGGATTTTGAAATAATCTCATTTCTCTTCGAGACGACAGAGGCGGTAGAGTGCGAACGAATATTTTTTTTGTCAATATTTGTGCGTGAAATTTTTAGGAGACCTCGCGTTTGTTGACAAGTTCTCTGTATCATCTTCTCTATCGTCTCAACGAACATCTTGTTTCTAAAAATCATTTTCTATCCACGTTACGTTCGTTCAAAATCAAACGTTTGTGTTTGTACAGTCAATCTAAGTCAAGTAGGAAATCAAGAAGACTCGAGTTCAGAGGACACGTCCTCGAACGGGAACGGGGGAAAACCCGCGCTGCCACCTAGGCCTAGAAGCATCAGCATCGACTACTCTTCCGCTAGGTAAAAAAAAAAAAAACCTTATCTTAACTTGATCTGATTCGGTTTTCTCAGCCGATTAGATTGCGCGAAAACTTGAAACAGGGTTGTTGTTGGGTCGCGAATTAAAAAAAAAAAACCAATTTACCGATTTTTCGATCAACAGTTTGAGTTTACCCGGCACATCCGTGATGAGAAAATCCGGCTCGACGAATGTAATAACAAACGGTCGAAGCGGTGGCAACGGACAGAACGCGAGTAGAATGTCCGCGGCGATCAAGAATCAATTGGATCCAAGCCCGCACGAACTTCCGGTCAAAGATACGGACCGTGCAATCGACGTAGCTAGTGCCGAACGTGAGTATGTTATATTAGGAAAAATTCACACATTCAGAGCGATTTTAAATATATAAAAATCATCACACGATCAATCCATCTTCTTCTCATCGTTCGTTCAAACAAAAACAAAAAAACAAAAAAAAACGTGTAAGCATGCGAGATTGCTGATTGCATCTTCCCAGAAAATGTCCAGAACAAAAAAAAATCATTGTCAGTTTGTTTGAAAACAATGCGCATAATGCTGCAAATTCTTGTTTGATTGTATTTTTTTTTTTTTTTGACACTTTGTTCTCGATTGAAAAATTTTTTGTGTGTGCGTGCGTGCGTGTGTGTGTGTGTACCACCACATCTAATAACCACATCAATTTCGTTCTTGCAGTAGACGCGGATAAGACATTAGGTAATCTAGAGACACTTGTTGAGAATGCTGTGTGCCCGTGAATATGTATAAATATCGATAAAATTCAAAATTTGTAAGTGATCATGCTAAACACAACCTCGTTCATACGAGATTTAATATGAAAAGCCCAGAGCCGTAGCTGTACATACAAAATGCCTACATGTTGTGCGATTGAAATTCGATCGCGGATTGTATATCGGCGGCGATCTCCGACTATTCTTTTTGTTTAATATTTTTTGTTTATTTTTTGTTTTTTACTTCAACATCGTTCTGAGACACATGTACATAGCTTGTTTTTACTTGGTTAATTATTGTATTTCTTGTACATATTTATTACGCGCGCACACACACATAAAGAAGCAACGGATATGTGTGTGTGTGTGTGTGTGTAAGATCGCACAAGCGGATCTGAAAATTCACGAAGTTTAGTTTAGTTTTTTTTTTTTTTTTTTTTCTTGAAATCATCGTGTATTAGAACACACGAAAGAGATTCATCCTTCGCATAGAAGATTTTTTACGTAAAACTTCGATAGCTTTATATACCAGTCATGATAGCATGATCTCATTACGGATTTTAGAAAACCAGAGTTTTTTTGAAACCTGCACGCTGCACGAGATAAACAAATTCATTCCTGCGATATATCCCCCATCAGTTTACAATTCGCTTTGTGATTTCCGCGTTTTTTTATTCAACGGCGAGACACGTTCATCTCAAGCGTTTTGACGCGTGACAATATTTTTGTAGTGTCCACGCAACTGTGCAATACAATAGCGGACGAGCTCACGCGGACCGCGGACAATGTTGTGCAACTTTACAAACGTTTGACGATAGACACCGAGAGCGGCGATCCTTCAAAAGGAGCGATCGACAGAGACACGATGCTACGGGGATTGGAATCGTCCGTGAACGAGACCATGCGCACACTGCGACTGGTCGTTACCGGAGGAGGTGGTGGTCAGGAAACTCGCAACGACGGCGGTGGTGGCAACGAGAGCGTCGCAACCAACGAGGCGACGGCCAAGTTTCAGGAGTTGCTCGCGGGTCAGGATCAGAGCAAAGTGGTAAACATGATGCAACAATACTCGGAGCTGTTGCTTAACATGATGCAACAGAGGATGGGAGGTACCCAGACGGCAACGGGTCACGCACAAAATCCGTCCACCTGAGAATTGATGTGGGGAGGAAATACGACGAGACGCTCGCAATCGACGCGCAAGCGCGTCCAAACGGGATTGCGGGAGGAACGCGCGTTCCCGCGACGGTCAATTTCTCTTCTCCGATCATCCCTCGACAGTTTTCTGTCTCTCTCTTAAAAAGAATTTGAGAATGTGTGTGAATTTTAATATAAATTCAAATTAAACAAGTCTATCCTCGTTAAAAAAAAAAAAAAAAAAAAAAACAAACAAAAAAAACCAATCAGTATGCACATATCGTAGCTCTGTGCGTTCGTTCTCTTTCGTCAGCGAGGGTAGAGAGATTGTTATTCGTTTTTGAGCAATTCATATTTCCCCCATTCGCACGATATATAAGATAAATTAAAACAAACGAGATTCCAACTTTTCCAACATATAATAAAATCCCATCTGCGAAACAAATGTTCACTTTGGAAGAGCAAACGTTTGAGGAAATCGCGAGACAGATTTTGTTATCGGGTGTGAACACGCACACACACAACATATACAAACCCACACTGTGAAAGCAACACCGTGGATCAACAGAAAACACGTAAAAAAAAAAAAAGAAAAAAAACATCCCGATTGCGACATAATTATTCATTTATTACCTTGAGGCCATACGCCATGAAAATGCCAATTAACTAAAGACTAGTGGAGTAGTTTTCAAACAAATATATATATATATATATATATATATATATATATATAT